ACCAGAGGGGCACTGGGCTCGGCCCTCGAGCCTCGGATGTCGAACCCGAGATCTCCCAGTCCAAGCTCGGCGACCCTCGGATCTAGGATCCGAGGTGCTCGCTGACGCTCGAGACCAAGATCTCGGATCCTCGATCCGAGGATGGAAGGTCGAACATGCTCGGTGGCTGCGCGGGCTCGACGACGGCGAGAGGGGCGATCTACCATCGCCGAGGCTCGGTCCTCGAGCCTCGGATGTCGAACCCGAGATCTTCCAGCCCAAGCTTGGCCACCCTCGGATCTCGGATCCGAGGTGCTCCCACATGCTCTAGACCAAGATCTCGGATCCTCGATCCGAGGATGGCAGGTCGAACATGCTCGGTGGCAGCGTGGGCTCGAGGAAAGCGAGAAGGGCGATCTACTATCGCCCATGCCCGGTCCTCGAGCCTCGGGCGTCGAACCCGAGATCTTCGAGTCCAAGCTTGGCGACCCTCGGATCTAGGACCCGAGGTGCTCGCAGATGCTCAAGACGAAGATCTCGGATCCTTGATCCGAGGATGGGGGATCGAGCATGCTCGATGGCTGGATGGCAGGATCGCCGAGGCTCGATCCTCGAACCTCGGATCGCGAGCCAGAGATCTTCGAGTCCAAGCTTGGCGACCCTCGGATCTAGGACCCGAGGTGCTCGCAGATGCTCAAGACGAAGATCTCGGATCCTTGATCCGAGGATGGGGGATCGAGCATGCTCGATGGCTGGATGGCAGGATCGCCGAGGCTCGATCCTCGAACCTCGGATCGCGAGCCAGAGATCTTCGAGTCCAAGCTTGGCGACCCTCGGATCTAGGACCCGAAGTGCTCGAAGATGCTCGGACTCAAGATCCCGGATCATCGATCCGAGGATGGAGGATCGAGCCTGCTTGATTCCTCGATGCTCGATCGAGGACCACTCGGCGAGAGGGTGGGGAGTAGCGCCCCGCAGCGTGGAACGCCACTCGCGCGTGCTCGAGCGCTCTCTTGGAGCTTGAAAAGCAGATGGGGCTCGAGCGCGCGCCTCGAAACGGCGCCCCCGTAGGGAACAAACATGGCGCGCTTGGCCCGGGGAGCTCGCGCGCTCGGGCGTCCACGAGCGTGAGCGAGGCGGGCTCTGACTCGCCCTGCGCGTCGGCCTGGCTCCTCTCGTCATCGCGCTTGTTCATGGCGAGCTTGTCGCACTCGGCCTGGACCGACTCAAACTTGTCGAAGTGCAGCTTGATGTGGTTCTCGAGAAGCATCTGCTCGTGCTGCTGCTGGTCGACGGTTTTCGAGTAGTCCCGCTTGGCGCGCCTGTCTGGGCAGGTCTGATCGCGCAGCTCGTAGCTCATGTCGGCTGTCTTCTTGGTGGACCAGCACCACTTGGCAATTGCTTGAGGGGTGGCCTTGGCGACCCCGTCAGTCACGATCGGGACCGTGGAGGTCTTGTTGCACCACTTGACGTACTCTCGGGCCCAGCTCGGGATCACGTTGAAGAGCATCTCGGTATTCTCGGCGGGGCCCCTCGCCCAAGTGCTCGACGGGCTCGAACTTCTTCTTGAGCGGCGGCACTAGCTCGTGGAGGTGGAGGAGCTCGGCGGGGATGCTTGGGAGGGCATCGCCCATGCGCTCGGTGTAGGAGCCGTGGGAAAGCTGCTTGACGTTCTCGGCGCCGAGCTCCGTGTCTCTCTTCTCGGCGAGCCCCTGCAGCTTGGCCCTGAATCTCGGCATGAGCCAGAAGAGGTCCTCGGGCGGCTCTCCGTGGTTCTCGAAGATGTCGCGCGCGCGCTCTTTCTTTTCGACGTAGGTCTAATAGAACACCGCCACGGCCAGCGCGATGCGCCTCTTGTCCTTCTCGTTAAACATGTGGCCGTACTCGATGCTCTTGTAGGGCCCGCCTGGGCGCGCCATCTCGAGCGCGGCCTGCTGGGCCCTGCTTGACCGCGGGGCGCTCTCGTCCTTGAAATAGCAGCTCGTCATCCTCGCTGCATCCGTGCCATGCGCGCTCGACTGGCACCGGCGCATCTCGGCGATGGAGGCCTTGTCCGCGAGGAAGATCAGCTTCTCGAGATCTTCTCGTTCTGCTTGGCCGCGCGCTCGAGAATCTCGTTCGAGCTCGGGCTCGGGGCCGCCGCGTTCTTCAGGGCCTCGACGGGGGCGCTCGCCGCCGCGGCGTGCTCGGCGGGCTGGGGCATCGCCGGGGCTCGCGACGCAGTCAGGGGCAACGACGTGGGCGGGTGGGGGGGGGGGGCAATGGGGGGGGGACGTCGAACCTGGAAACGGCGATGCATCGCCGATGCATCGGCGACGCGCGCCCGATGCATCGGCGATGTATCGCCGATTCCAAGTCGACGTCCCCCCCATTGCCTATCCCCCCCTCGTCGCTGCCCCTGGGGCGACAAGGCTCGGCGCCTCGAAGAGGCCCGAAAGCTCGGGGCCTCGAAGACTCGGGGAAACTTGGGCCTGGGCAGCTGCGGGGGCAGAGGAGGGGGAGAAAGAGGAAGAGGAAGGACCACGAATCGCATGAGGGGTGCGCTAGAAAAGTAATTCACTCAACTAACTCCAATGCTCCGCCTGCCCGAAAAACGCATTCACAATCAAAACCCAATCGGTTCCTATGGCCCTGCCGCGCGTTCCTGACTCGGGAGCGGCGAATAAGAATTACTCCAACGGAAGGACCCCGCAGGAGAATCCTCTGCGGGCCAGGCTGTCGGGGCAACCCCGCGAGCCGCTTGCGCGCGAGACCATGCCGTTGGGGCAGCCCCGCGGGCTTCGAGCGGGGCGCAGCCGCGCTCAGGCGGGCAGCGCGAAGCCCAGCTCTGCCGCGAGCCGCTCGCTCCAGGAACTCCCGCGGCGGCGGCCGCAGGAACAGCATGTTCCGCATGCGCGCGGCGCGGGAGAGCATGATGTAAATGTGCAGCCACCAGTGCTCGTCCGACATGCCCGCGCGGCCAGCGCCCTCGTCTCTCGCGCAGTCGACGGCGACGCCCTTGCGCAGCGTCTGGCCCTGCGACAGCGTGGAGGTCAGGTAGGGCGCGTGCGTCAGGGTGAACCCCGAGCGGCGCACGCTGTGCGCCCCCGAGCTCTGCCATGTGAGCTCCCTTTCGCTGGGCTTGAACATCAGTGAGCTCCGCGCCCGCGCTTGGGCCTAGCCGTCGTCGTCGGCGTCTTCGGCGCCCTGTCGCAGCACCTCGGCGACCTCCTGTCAGATCCGAAACTCCTTGAAGCCGTGCACCTGCAGCCAGATTCCCTGCGGTAGGAAGCGGGAGCGAAAGAGCTGGCCTGCCGAACGCTCCTCGTGCCGCTGCTCGTCCTCGCGGTGGAACTCGAAAGACACGATGGTGGCCCGTTGTTCCTGCACGAGCCCCAACTTCTTCTTCAGCTCTTCCTGCGCTGCCGTGAACCGCACTTCTATGGCGACGTGGGCCGGCAAGACGCCGTGGATGTCCCCCGTCTTGTGCATGTTCGGGACGTTCAGGAGGCGCCGACCCGCGTCGGGATCGCCCTGAATCGTGCCGCGCACGTTGGGTGCGTCCGAGTGGATACGTGCCGGGAATAGCGCTCTGGAGACACGACGAACACAAAGTGGCCTACAGTTGGCTCCGGACATTCAGAATGTGGCCCGGGAGTGGTGTTCTGGGAACGCGAAAAACACGAAGTGGCCTACGGTTGGCTCCGGGCATTCAAAATGTGGCCCGGGAGTGGTGTTCTGGGAGCACGAAGATCACGAAGTGGCAGAAAGTTTGCTCCGGGCATTCCAAATGTGGCCTGGGAATGGCGTTCAGGCAGCGCGGAGCCCAAAAGTGGCGACAGTTATAAGAATTGGCTGGCCCGCTCGGATTAGTAACATGATCCGCGGGCCCCATAGGGAGGGGGTTCCCGCTTGAGACTTCCTCGGATTAGTAACATGATGCGCGGGCCCCATACGGAGGGGGCTCCCGCTTGAAACTTCCTCGCAATTCACTCACAGACGACGCCCAAGGCGAGTGAGTGAGTGAGTGACTGACTGAGCCCAAAAGTGGCGATAGTTTCAGGATTTGGCTGACCCGCTCGGATTCGTAACATGATCCGCGGGCCCCATAGGGAGGGGGCTCCCGCTTGAGACTTCCTCGGATTAGTAACATGATCCGCGGGCCCCATAGGGAGGGGGCTCCCGCTTGAAACTTCCTCGCAATTCACTCACAAACGAGGCCCAAGGCGAGTGAGTGAGTGAGTGACTGACTGATTGAGTGACTGGTGATGATGATGATCATCACACTCTCTCACGCGCGCACTCATCATCATCATATGTGAATTCGTGAGCGTGTGAGTGAGTGAGTGCTGATGAATCAGTGAGTGAGTGAGTGAGTGAGTGAGTGAATGAGCTAGTGAGTGAGTGAGTTAGCGCACGAGAACAAACGAGGAGAAGGGGTGAGGTGAGGAGGTTCCTGCGCGGGGTGTCCAGAGAAAACAAAAACCCCACTTTGGATGTTGGGAAAAATGAAAATCCCATGGCCCTCCCGCGCGTTCGTAAAGTGGGCAAACGGAACTGGTGAGAGTCCCACAGCCCTGCCACACGCTCGTGATTGCGAAAGCTGGTGTGGTGAGACCACCATGGCCATGCTCAACGTTATCGATGCTGTTGCTAATCAACAAGGTATGATAGCAACTTCGATCCCCGCAACCTTTCCGTGGATTATAAAGGTCGGCCTCCGCGCCTTCCTCCACAAGTTAATCCTATTGGCCAGAAAGAAAAACACTCGGGGGGTTAACGGGGGGGTACTTTATTATCGCCCGTCGGCGGTTATACGGGTTGAATGGCACGCGAGGAGGTAAAAGCTAACAATCTTAAACTGATTGTTGGTGTTGGTGTTGTTGCTGCTGTTGCAGAACTCGCAAATCCTTGTGAAACCCTAGCGAACCTTTCAAAATCCGATGGATATTTCTTTGAAAACCACCACCGTCCGCGTATTCCGATCGGACGGCGCGAAAAGTGGAGAAGCAGGGGAGTATGTAGCGCTGTTTTGTTCGAACTCCTCGTCGTGCAAGCCGAACGCGTTTCTGAAGCGTCGCCGCCGGGACGGCCCGCCCGTGCCGCCTCCTACGGAAGCGCGCAAGATCTTCCTGCGCAGTCCGTCGATCTCCTCGGCGGTGATCGGCCAAATCTCCCCGTTGCCGGAGGCCTTGTCGAAGAGATCCGGATGGAGTGCGCCGGCCTGGCTGTCCAGCATCCGGAAGGTGTGCGCTGCTGCCTCCGCGCTGCCGGCCTAGGGGGCAATGCCACGGGGGGTCACCACTGGGCCAAGGGGTCGACACTTCGTCAAGCAAACGCCACAGTCCCCCCCCCGCCCCCCAGGACGCTCTTCCAAATCGACCCACTTCTAAAAACCTCCTCGAGGTTCGATCCAGGAACGCTGATTTCCAGGAGGAACTTGCGACCCCCTGGTGGTGACCTTCCTTGGCACTGCCCGAGCCTCGAGGAGCAAGAAGCGGGCGAAGAGGTACTGCAGGCAGACCGAGCCCACGATGCAGACCTTCGCCATCTCGTCGACGACGGTCGCGTTGTCCAGTCCCCACTCGAGCGTCTTTTGGTATGCAAGGTCGACGCGGAGCTCCGGAGCTAAGGCCAAGAGCTCCACCCGGAAGGGGCCCCACAGGGGATCCCTGCTACACTCTGGGTCCTCCTCGATGTTCCTCTGGTACTTCTTCGGCTGGAAGACAGGATCATCCTGGAGCGTTTTCCTTTCGGCGTTGACCGCCACACCTGCACCAGCCGCCGCTGGCAGCAGCCCCACCTTGGAAACCGGAAGATCTACAACACCGGTTCGGGGCAGGCTCATCCTTGGCCCTGCGCTGGTGAAGCGTTAAACGCCATTGGGCCTAAGTCAGAGGGACTGTGCAGCAGTTCAGGGCCCATGTGGACCCGAAAACAACTGGTGGCGGCATTTCATTTCCAAATTCCTGCTTGCAACTCGACATCCGACGTCGTGAGAAAGGACACGCAACGCCATGAGAACCTGATGGAGTCACGCTTGACCTGAAGACAAGTAAGAAGGGCGATGCAAACGGGGCACCCAATGTTGGTTCCCAGGTTGTCCTTTTCCCTCTCCAGGCCTTGTGGGGGATCGGGGGAACCAGGAGGGGTGAAGGATGGGGGAGGGGAGGAGAAGTAGTGAGAATGAGGCTGCAGACAGAGGGTATGAAGAAACGAGGGGGGGAAAGAGCATGGATATGAGAGGAGAGCTCAACAATACCGAAGGAGCTTCGAGAAGGACAAAGGGCGGACACGAGGACAAAGGGGGCGGTGATGAGCAATGAATGGAAGAGGAAGGAATAACAGCGGAAGGGAAAAGAACTCCCCCATGCTGGTGCCCGTCCTGTTCGCTTCATTCGTGCCGAAGGAGAGAAGGAGTGATAAATACATATATAATATATATATATATATATATATATATATATATGTGTGTATATATATATACAGAGAAAGAGAGAGAGAGAGAGAGAGAGAGAGAGACAGGGAGAGAGCGAGACGATAATAATTGATGCAAAAACGAAGAATGAGGAGGAAACGGGTGAGATGAGAAGAACGAAGAATAACACATATAAAGAAAGGAAGGCTTTTCGAGGGCATCTTGGGAGCCTCCTGGGGCGTCTTGGGGTTCTTCCTGAAGGCAACAGGGCCCCCAGTTCGGATTATGTTTGGGCCCCTCTTGGGGGTATGTTGAGGCCTCTTAGGCCGTCCTGGGCTGTAGGGGGGCACTTGCGGGTCTCCCGGGGCCTTCTGAACAACGGTCCGGGGTGCCCATCCTCGGGGCCTCTCGAGGCCTCCCGGGGCACGGCCACCAGCGCCGCGAGGCACCGCACCATCCCCGCGGGGCGCACCCTGCGCGGCGGCCGCCGCCCGCCCGCCACGCCACCCGCCGCGGCCGCGGCCGGCGGGCCGCCGCGCGCGGCGGCCGGCGGCGCCCTGGCGGCGCCAAGGCGCCGGACGGCGCCCGCGCGGGCGGGTATGGCCAGGGCAAGGGGGGGCGGAAGAGCGTGGGGGAGGGGGCGGGGAGGGATCTAAGGGGGGGAGCAGGCTGGGTGCGCAAGCGTCTTATCTGACGTCCTATCCCTCCCTCCCATCCCTCACCATGGCGTAGATCTCCTCTCTATTCGTACAGTCGGATGTCGAGAAAGGCAATGATCATGGCATGGTACTGGAAATGAATCCAGCGCTGCAGCGGGAGCACGATTCAGGACGAGCAGAAGCGCGGAAATGAGGCCAGCGCGGCAGCGGGAGCACGATTCAGGACGAGCAGAAGCGCGGAAATGAGGCCAGCGCGGCATCGGGAGCACGATTCGGAACGAGCAAAAGCGCAGAAATGAGGCCAGCGCTGCAGCGGGAGCACGATTCGGAACGAGCAAAAGCGCGGGAAATGAGGCCAGCGCGGCAGCGGGAGCAACATCTGTTCGGTTTGGAAACGCACTTTTTTTTCCCCCCCCCCCAAAAAAAAAACAAAAAAAAAAAAAAAAAAAAAAACCAAAAAAAAACGCAGGCATCCTACGAACGAAAAAACAATACGCGGAGGGGGGCGCACCCCTGCAAAGCTGCGATCTGCGAAACTTTCGCCGCTTTCGAGGGCTTCTGGGGGGGCGCGCACAGTGGGCCATGCCCAGACTCTGATGGGGCCCCGCCATCCCTGGAGGGACACGATCTGCGAAGCCGTCGCCACTTTCGAAGGCTGCTGGGGCGGGGGAGGCGCAGTGGGACTGTGCCCAGACTCAAATTGAAACTCGCCACCCCTGGGAAGTTGGGCCCCGCGGAACCGTCGCCACCTTCGAGGGCTGTTAGTTTTCCGAGGGCTGGGGGGGCGCGGCGGGGCCGCGCCCGGACTCAGATCTGCGAAACCGCCGCCACTTTCAAGGGCTGCCAGGGGGCCAGCGCAGCGGGGCCACGCCCGTGCCCAGATTAAACCTCGCGACTCTGGGGGGCTTCGATCTGCGAAGCCGCCGCCGCTTTCGAGGGCTGCCGGGGGACCGGCGCAGCGGGGGCACCCAGCATCGATGAGACCTCGCCACTCCCCCTGGGTGCTGCGATCCGCGAAACTTTCGCCGCTTTCGCAGGGTTGCTGCGGAGGGGGGGGGGCAGCATCGTGAGGGGCCATGCCGGAGATCAAATTGAACCTCGCCGCTCCTGGATGGCTGCGCTCTGCGAAGCCGTCGCCGCTCTCGAAGCTTGCCGCCCCCCAACTTATCTTTCAAGCCCCCCATTCGCACTCTCCCCAGTCGTCCTTGTGTATCTTCCCCTTCGACCCCCGGGGCATGCGCGCGCGGCGATGCGCGAGTGTGGACTTCGCCCAATGTTTCTTGCTGCAAGCGGAATTCTCGATTACGGGTGATCTCTGGTGAACGAACGCGCGCCCATGATGTTTTTGCACTCGATGGTGGTGGTGGTGGTGGTGGTGCGTGTGTGTTCGTGCATGCGTGCGTGTGCGCGTGGGGGGGGGGTCGCGCTCGGCTTGGTTGGGATGGCGCGAGTTCATATGTAAGATGAACGACGGGGCAAGCTCATATGTAACTTGCACATCCCCAAGGTGCATCGATAATTCCATGTGGGGGCGGGGGGGGGGGGGCGCGCGCGGGTCGCGGGGGGGTGGTGGGCGGGCGGGGCGGCGCGCGCTCGCGCGCGTGCGTGCGCGCGCGAGTGCGCGTGTGCGTGGGGGGATGTAAATATTTATGTGCGTATCTAGATATATGCACACACACATTGAACTTGTCTGCTCCGCTGTTCGCGCAATCGCCCCGCGCGCCCGCCCGCCACTTCGTTTACTAAACCCATGCGGCAGCAATGAGAATGACTGTCTGGCGCTGGTTGGCGCGTCGCCGCGGCCGCGCTAGCGCGTGTAGGCTCGCGCCCAGGGCGACCGGTTAGTCTGGCGCTACCGACTTGGCCGCGGCGGCGCTGACTGTCGGTCGCTTCCAAGCGCGCGTCGCAGGCCGCGCTGGCGCGAGGGAACTTCAATGCGAGTCGGTGGCCCGGGCGGGCGAGGCATTGTGGCGACGTCGGCAAGGCAGCGGCGGACGCGACGATGATAATAGCGAAACTGACGAGGATCACGATGAAGTGTGGCGACGGACCATGAACGGCAATGCTGAGCACGCCGATGACGATGAAGGCGTCCACTTGTCAGCGACGACGGTTTTGGTAGGCTTCGACATGCCGCGCGGCCGACGCGCGCGTGTGGCCCGCGCGGAACGATTTGACAAGGATCGCGCCCCCCTCCCCCCCAACCTCGCGCGCAAGGGCGTTCGAATAATTTCGATACGCCCGCGAGACAGACCCGCTCGACCACACTTGATGGAAATAGTGAATGTCCTACAGGCATGAATAAAACATCGTCCGAACGCGCGAATTTCTACTTTTTGACACCACTGGTTGCCGAACACTGCTTTCATATGTTTGTTTGACCTCGATCTTGAAAAATGCATGGCGCCGAAGAGTTCATGCGGATTCGGGCATCCGCGCGCGACGCCGCGCGAGTGGACTTGGTCCGATATTGGTTCGCAAAGGGTTTCTGCAAATTCATGACATTGATTATGTTTTTTATTTTTTTGAAAAAGGAACGCGCGCGTCATTTTTTTTGACGGGGATGACGGGGGAGCGATGCTGGCCTGGCTGGGATGGAACCCGGAATTCATAATTCGAATGAATTGTGGGGCAGATTCATGAAACTTGCACAACCTGGGGGGGGCGCCGGCAACCGAGGGGGGGGAGATCCGAATTCCCTTCCGGGAAGAGAAACTGCGTTGTGCAATTAATTGGCCTGCTCGCGCGCGATCGCCCCCTATGCTCGCGCGCGCATCCCACCCGCCCGTCCGCAACTTGGTTGCAGGACCTACGCGGAAGCGTTAGCGATGGCTGCATGGCGCTGGCTGGCGCATCGCCGCAGCCGCGCTTGCGCGCGCAGGCTCGCGCGCAGAGCGACCAAGTAGTCTGGCGCAACTGACGCGGTCGCGATGGCGCTGAAAGCCAGGCAATTCCCAGCACGTCTTGCACGCCGCGCCGACGCTCGGGCACGTCATTGCGAGTCGGTGCCTCGGGCGGGCATGGGACCATGGCGACGTCGGCAACGGCAGACGCGATGGTGGTAGTAGGCATGCTGGTGACGGTGACGATGACGAGGTAAGGCCGAGGACGGTACCGATGCTGAACACGCCGATGAAGATGATGGTGTCCGCTAGTCTGTGATTGAAGTTTTGGAAGGACTTCGACATGCGCGTGCGGCCGACGCGCGCGAGTGGCGCGCATGGGGTATTGCTTGACAGGGGGCGTGCCCCGCCAGCACACGAGCAAGGGCGTTCGAATGATTCTGACATGCGCTCGCGAGAGGCACGTGTGGTCGCATGTGACGAGAGTGTTGAAACACCGATGGTTCCCTGAAGAATCCGCAAGAGAGCGCGCGCAGACGGACTTGCAAGAACACGTTGCTGAACCTTTGTTTGATTATATGTGTGGTCGGGGCCCTCGGCTTTGAAATCTTTACGGGGCATACGGTGTTTCCCTACCTAGGCTCTGCCTAGAAGGGTTCTTACCCTCTAAGCGTAATGGGCTGGGTAATGGAACCCGCCCCGGGCGGTTCCCCCAGGATCCGCCCCGCGGTTCCCCCAGTTACGTCCCCTTAGCTTAGCGTCGCTTATCTCATCTTAGCTTAGCTTATTTCATCTTAGCGAGGCTTCGCTTCACCTTAGCTCAGTTTTATATTAGCTTAGCTTACCTTCATCTTAGCTTCGCTGAGCTTTAGCATAGCAGAGCGCAGCATAGCTTAGCATAGCACAGCGCAACACAGCTTATCATAGCATAGCCCAGCATATCATAGCATAGCGCAGCAGAGCATAGCATAGCATAGCACAGCGCAGCACAGCACAGCATAGCGCAGCATAGCATAGCATAGCATGCCATAGCATAGCGCAGCTTAGCATAACATATCATAGCCTAGCTTAGCATAGCACAGCGAAGCATGACATAGCATAGCATAGCATAGCACAGCATAGCTTAGCATAGCATAACGCAGCATAGCATAGCATAGCATAGCATTGCATAGCATAGCAT